ATAAAACTCAAGCTTTCACACCTTCATCAATGGCAGAACCTCATACATATATATTTATGATAATTCAACATGGATTCAGTCATAGCAATACATATGAACACAAATTCAACCAACAAATTCTCAGATTTTCATCATACAACAATTTATCAAAAGAAAACCTAGAAACCCTAATGAGATTAAAGACTTCTCATCTCTATCCCATCATGCAATACACCTAAATTGATAGTCATTTCTCTCCCCTTACCTTAGATTTTCAACAAAACAGCAGCAGCTCATAAGAAATCCTTCTCTCAACCCCTAGCTATGTGCTTTTCCATTTTTCTCCAACTTTCATTTTAACGTACTGTAAACTCCATCCTTCCCACATCTCTCTATTTATAAAAATAGTTTTAATCCTCTCATTTAGGATTTTTCCTCATTACCCCTAAATTATTCTCTAAATTTCCTCTTTACCCCTTATTTCTCTACTAACTCCTATTTTCTCCAACTTTTCTTATTTTATTATTATTATTATTATTATTATTATTATTATTATTATTATTATTATTATTATTATTATTATTATTATTATTATTATTATTATTATTATTTATTATTATTAATTAAAAGTATGATTATTCTAATTATTATCCAATTTATTCTTTTTTCATTCACCACAACATCTCAATTCCACTCTACCCCATCAACACATAAGATCGTATTATTTATTTAAATATACGTCAACATCAAATAGTTAAATAAAATAAATCTAAATAATTTAATCAAATTTAGAGTGTTACATCACCCCGACAAAAGTATATGTAGTTCCTTTGGTGAAATTTGCATAAATTTCTAAGAATATTTCTATTTTCCATAAGAAGATTCAAGTTGCCTTCAACAATTTCGAGGAAGGGGTGTTGAATCACTTGAGAATTTTTCAAAAGTATCGGAGAAATGTGTCTACTTGAGTTTACTCTTCCATCACTTCCCGAAATCACTTCATTTAAATAAAATCTTATTTTCCCAAATTTTATGAAAGAGGATTAGGATTGAAAGTTTCATCATGGAGTTTGTCTATTTGAAATAGAAGAATTTGAATTTTTTGGGAGAGAATGTAAGAACGGTCCTAAACTAATTTCTTACAAAGATGAACATTTGAAATAATTTGGGATTTTAATAAAAAGGGTTTGGATCCTAACCATCAAAACACTGCCTTAAATTTTTTAATCTTAAAAAAAACCCAATCATTCCGGTCCTAAACTAATTTCTTACAAAGATGAACATTTGAAATAATTTGGGATTTTAATAAAAAGGGTTTAGATCCTAACCATCCAAACACTGTCTTAAATTTTTTATATCTTAAAAAAAACTCAATCGTTCTGGTCCTAAACTAATTTCTTACAAAGATGAACATTTGAAATAATTTGTAATTTTAATAAAAAGGGTTTGGATCCTAACCAACCATCAAATCACTGCCTTAAATTTTTTATATCTTAAAAAACAATTCAATCATTCTGGTCCTAAACTAATTTCTTACAAAGATGAACATTTGAAATAATTTGGGATTTTAATAAAAAGGGTTTGGATCCTAACCATCCAAACACTGCCTTAAATTTTTTATATCTAAAAAAAAAAACTCAATCATTCCGGTCCTAAACTAATTTCTTACAAAGATGAAATTTGAAATAATTTAGGATTTTAATAAAAAGTGTTTTGATCCTAACCATCACAACACTGCCTTAAATTTTTTATATCTTAAAAAAAAACTCAATCAATCTAGTCCTAAACTAATTTCTTACAAAGATGAACATTTGAAATAATTTGAAATTTTAATAAAAAGGGTTTGTATCCTAACCATCAAAACCTGCCTTAAATTTTTTATATCTTTAAAAAAAAACTCAATCATTCCGGTCCTAAACTAATTTTTTACAAAGATGAACATTTGAAATAATTTGAAATTTTAACAAAAAGAGTTTGGATCCTAACTATCAAAACACTGCCTTAAAATTTTTAAATCTTTAAAAAAAAAAAAATCAATCATTCCAGTTCTAAACTAATTTCTTACAAAGATGAACATTTGAAATAATTTTGAATTTTAATAAAAAGGGTTTGGATCCTAACCATTAAAACACTGCCTTAAATTTTTTATATCTTAAAAAAAAAAAACTCAATCATTCCAATCTTAAACTAATTTTTTACAAAGATGAACATTTGAAATAATTTGAGATTTTAATAAAAAGGGTTTGGATCCTAACCACTGCCTTAAATTTTTTATATCTTAAAAAAAACTCAATCATTCCGGTCCTAAACTAATTTCTTACAAAGATGAACATTTAAAATAATTTAAAATTTAAATAAAAAGAGTTTGGATCCTAACCATTTGAAATAATTTGAAATTTTAATAAAAAAAGTTTGAATCTAACCATCAAAACACTTCCTTAAATTTTTATATCTTAAAAAAAACTCAATCATTCCGGTCCTAAACTAATTTTTTTACAAAGATGAACATTTCAAATAATTTAGGATTTTAATAAAAAGAGTTTGGATCCTAACCATCAAAACACTGCCTTAAATTTTTTAAATCTTAAAAGAAAATTCAATCACTCCGGTCCTAAACTAATTTCTTACAAAGATGAATATTTGAAATAATTTTGAATTTTAATAAAAAGGGTTTGGATCCTAACCATCAAAACACTGTCTTAAATTTTTTATATCTTTAAAAAAAAACTCAATCATTCCGGTCCTAAACTAATTTTTTACAAAGATGAACATTTGAAATAATTTGAAATTTTAACAAAAAGAGTTTGGATCCTAACTATCAAAACACTGCCTTAAAATTTTTAAATCTTTAAAAAAAAAAAAAATCAATCATTCCAGTTCTAAACTAATTTCTTACAAAGATGAACATTTGAAATAATTTTGAATTTTAATAAAAAGGGTTTGGATCCTAACCATTAAAACACTGCCTTAAATTTTTTATATCTTAAAAAAAAAAACTCAATCATTCCAATCTTAAACTAATTTTTTACAAAGATGAACATTTGAAATAATTTGAGATTTTAATAAAAAGGGTTTGGATCCTAACCACTGCCTTAAATTTTTTATATCTTAAAAAAAACTCAATCATTCCGGTCCTAAACTAATTTCTTACAAAGATGAACATTTAAAATAATTTAAAATTTAAATAAAAAGAGTTTGGATCCTAACCATTTGAAATAATTTGAAATTTTAATAAAAAAAGTTTGAATCTAACCATCAAAACACTTCCTTAAATTTTTATATCTTAAAAAAAAACTCAATCATTCCGGTCCTAAACTAATTTTTTTACAAAGATGAACATTTCAAATAATTTAGGATTTTAATAAAAAGAGTTTGGATCCTAACCATCAAAACACTGCCTTAAATTTTTTAAATCTTAAAAGAAAATTCAATCACTCCAGTCCTAAACTAATTTCTTACAAAGATGAATATTTGAAATAATTTTGAATTTTAATAAAAAGGGTTTGGATCCTAACCATCAAAACACTGTCTTAAATTTTTTTTGTCTTAAAAAAAATTCAATCAATCTGGTCCTAAACTAATTTCTTACAAAAATGAACATTTGAAATAATTTAAAATTTTAATAAAAAGGGTTTGGATCCTAACCATCAAAACACTACCTTAAATTTTTTATATCTTAAAAAAAAAACTCAATCATTTGCTTTATAACGGTGATAATTTCACGGAGGTCACTCCCTTGAAAACTCTCACGCGAGTGAATCCTAATCAAACCTAGATTTGTTACAAGATTTTGATTTAATCTTTTATTTGAGAGTCATCCTCAAGGGAGCTAACCATTAATAGCTATATGTAGGAGCTAACCACTAGAAGCATTTTTTTTTCGTATAATAAGTATACCAAGACAAATAATAATGATTTCTAGGCACGTGAACAATGTTAAGCCAAAGGAGAAATTCTCTCCTTGAGTTGTTGTATATATTATGGTCTATGATTTTAAGGTTTATGGTGAAAAAAAATTCAATCAGTAATTGAAATATATGTCCCTACGTAGTTCATTGGGAAGTGGTTTTACCTGGAGAGGTTTCGTCAGAGAACAATATCGTACCAACTTTGAATATATATGCTAGAAAAGATTGCCACAACCAGTCAAAACATAGGATAAAACGTTCTAATGATAGATCTAATGACACAAGTACTCTCTCACCGGACAATTTGCTTATCAAATTACCTGTCTAAAAGCCTGTTCAACACAAAATGCAAAAGAGCTCAAGTTCAACTATGTATGTGCTTTGGTTTGGACATGGGGATTAAAGTGACAATGTCATTGTTAACTAGAGAACTGGGTGAACAAAATTCTGGAGCAATATACGTCAGAAATGGCAATAAAAGTTTCAAAACAAAGAAAATCATGATTTTTACAATAAGAACTACATTATTAAAAGCATAACAAAGTGAAAACCTAATCAACCTTTGATATAAGGTCATACATAACACTTCAATTTGAACTATTTTACTCAATATTTCCATAAGCTCGTTCAACAAAGCACTCAAATTATCAATGTTAAGAATGTCACTACTTGTCCCAGCTGGTCATATATTTGTAAAATAGAGCAATGCACCTCACCTAAGTTCCCAATAACTTAGGAGCGCCAAAATGCTTATCTAGTAATCATCTAAACTAAAGAACCTCAAATTCTTCTATTTGCCACTAAATTGAAAGATAGTCGGTTTCCACTTTCCAACAAAGAACAAAGAGTAGTCATGAACAAAACCACATAGAAAACAATATACTAACCACACTCAAAGCAAAACCAATTTATTTAACTTTTATAATAATAAGAACCGGATGAACAATTCCAAATCATCACATCACATGCTAAAACATTTCCTTACTTCTTCATAATCATCTAGCATAAAAAAAGCAACACAGATGCACTCAATCCAACACTAGATTGAAATATATACATCATATATAATTTTGGTATACTTCAAACCTTTGCAAAACACCATCAGCTAAGAACTCAATAATCTCGGTAATGAGCATCACCATAATCATCTCTAGCAGAAGCAGCATCGCTTTCAACCATTTCCGCAAGTCTGCGCTCTTCATACTTCATCCCCTCTTCTAGAGCAATCCCGCTTAGCGCCCCTGCAACAGCACCAACAGCCAGCCCAGCACCTAGGCCCATCTTACCGCCTTTGGGCCTCGGATCAAACGAGGAGGAAAATTCAAGCGGGGCAGACGGTCCACTGGGCCCAGCTGCATAACTTCCGGTACGGTCAAAGAAAGGTCTCGGTGGTGGAGGTGGGTAAGAAGCACCGGAATAATAACCTGAGGGACCAGGATAGTAGCCGCCAGGGAGGGCGTCAGGGTAAGTGTAGGGCATAGGATATGGAGAAGGTGAAGAGGAGTATCCTCTGTAATAGACTAAGGATGGATTGGGATTAAGGTTAGGGTTAGGATTAGGGTTGGGAATAGGGTTGGGGTTTGAGTTAGGGTTAGTGTAATCGTAGGTTTGTTGCGGTGGTGGGGGAGGAGGAGAGCGACCGAGGAGGCCAAGCTTGAGGTGAACCTTGCCGTGAGGGCGACCGGAGGGTCGAATAACAGGAAACTTGCGGTTGATAGTCGAGTGGTTGAGTTCGTGAAGGTCTTTGAGGGGGAGGCGGAGGGTGGCGACGAGGGGTTTGGGGGTATCGGAGGGTTTGGAGTGGAAGATCTCGAGGGTGAGGTAGGAGTCTGGGAGAGGAAATGATAGAGGGAGGGTGAATCGTTCGTTCCAGACGGGGGAAGTGTTACCGGAGTCGTCTGATTTGGTGGCGAGACGACGGTCAGGATCGACCCAAAAGACGACGTAGGGTTTGAGATCGCCGTTTTTCCAGTTGACGTTTTTGAGATGTTTGGCGGCGACGATGGTTAGGTCGAGATCTACAGACTTTGACGGAGGGGGACGTGAGGACGCCATTCTCGTTTTTTTTTTCTTTTCTTTCTCTTTTGGTTCTATCAAAACTAACACTGAAAAATAATTGGGAAATCGAATAACCAAGGCGATCTTATCGTTTATGTATAACCGTTATATGTAATAGATACTGTGTAATTCATAGCTATTTACTCGTGACTAATTTCGGTCAATAATAGGTTGAAAATTATATCTATTATCGTGTCACTTGGACCAACCATACGTTTATATTAACTAATTAATCCATTTTAAAATTTAATTATCACTTTTTAATTTTATGAATTGTTATAGTACTCACTTTGATTTTATTTATAAAAAAAATTGTTTTTAAATTTATTGAACAGGCAATGTTTTTTGAAAAAATATATCTACTAAATATATTAATTATTGAATAAATTTAAAAAGTAAAATTTTCTCAAATAGCAATCAAAGTTAGATAGTAGTTAACAAACTAAAATTAATATTATATTATTATTGACAAAAATATTGCATGAGTCTTTTAAGTTGTTTTTTTTAATAAGTTAGTCTTTTATTTTATTTTTTTTTCTACAATCAAGTCTCACTTATTTTTAAATTGTAACAACTATGTTCTTTAAGTTTTGTCAGTTGTATAAGTTATGAAAATTGTTATAGAATTACAACAAATATAACAAATATTACATGAAGATACCAAAAGTCATGTTTTACTGCAAGTGTTACATGAAGTTACCAAAAGTTATGTCTTATGACACTAACATTAAAATTAACAATGATCACCACTTTCGAACCAAAATACACATCAACACTACAAAAATCAAAACTAACAACGTTATGACATAGACTAGCATCTTCAACATATTTTCCATCATCTTCTTAAATGACACATCAATGTCGTTTGTGCCACATAAGCATTTTTGAAACGGAGTTTGTGAAAAAGATCAACGGTGATAACGGTAGTTAACATAAATGACTGACTTGTTATAATAAAATAACTTAAATGACTCAGACAGTATTTTTGTCATTATTATTATAGTTGTTAAAATTGATCCATTCTTGTGCTGACCTATTGTACTTATATTATATTTTAAGAGCATTGCATATTGCATCTTGGTGCTTCGACATTTCGATGAAAAATTAATAATGTCTATAAAATTTAGAAATGCATTTTGAACGCATACATTTAAATCAAGTTAATGAAATAGATCAAAACGAAAATTTGAAAGTTAACTTTCATATTAGATTCGGAAGCTTCCTGACTAAAAATTTGTTTATTGTTTCGTTTCCTATTCATTTTACTTAGATATTTTAGGGAACTTTAATTCTTTCAGCATCATTTCCAATCTCTTATCTAAAACCTTTTGTAGTCTGTTTCAGTTTTCAATAACTAAATTTTCTAAACTTTATTGCTACTACAAGAACATACTCAGGATTATCCACACTAGAGTGTTTTCTATTCTTAAATAAGAAGCACCCTACTATAAAGAAGAATAATATCTTAATTTCTCCCAAGCCAATAGCAAACTAAAGCATAAACTTTATTGATCCATTTTTATGATCTTCTTAGTTGTTTTACTCCATTATAAACTTCACTGATCCATTTTCTTGAACAAATCAAGCTACCGTTGTTTATAACACTTTCATGGGAAAAAATAATGTGTTTTCTCTTTGGTACTCGCAAGTATAATGATCCTCGAAAATCTGGTGAACTATACTCATTTTATAACTATGTCTTGGCTTACCTATTGTACTTATATTATATTTTAAGAGCATTGCATATTACATCTTGGTGCTTCGACATTTCGATGAAAAATTAATAATGTTTATAAAATTTAGAAATGCATTTTGAACGCATACATTTAAATCAAATTAATAAAATAGATCAAAACGAAAATTTGAAAGTTAACTTTCAGATTAGATTTGGAAGCATCCTGACTAAAAAATTGTTTATTGTTTCGTTTCCTATTCATTTTACTTAGATATTTTAGGGAACTTTAATTCCTTCAGCATCATTTCCAATCTCTTATCTAAAACCTTTTGTAGTCTGTTTCAATTCCCAATAACTAAATTTTCTAAACTTTATTGCTACTACAAGAACATACTCAGGATTATCCACACTAGAGTGTTTCCTATTCTTAAATAAGAAGCACCCTACTATAAAGAAGAATAATATCTTAATTTCTCCCAAGCCAATAACAAACTAAAGCATAAACTTTATTGATCCATTTTCATGATCTTCTTAGTTGTTTTACTCCATTATAAACTTCACTGATCCATTTTCTTGAACAAATTAAGCTACCGTTGTTTATAACACTTTAGTTGCGGTGAGAATCGGATATCAAGCTATTGAATAAACTTGAATCTTTAATTCTTAAATTCACAACCGGACTTTAATTTATCGAAAAAGGAAAGGTTTAAAGAAAGAAAAACCTATAAAAATGCAAAGCAAAAAGCAAGACTTAAAGCTAAGCAAAGAGAGATCTAAAGGTTTGGGGGTTGGTTATACCTATGGAAGGTGTTAGCATCCTAAGCATCTGTAGTACTCTACAGGAACCTCTTGTTAATATTTGTGTTATGCTAAAGTTGCTTGCTAAAGGAAAAGTGTTAAGGTAAAGATATAAAGTATATACAAAGTATGATCGCCAAGACATCGCATCTCGCGCTTACATATTCTGACGGGAATGGAATCAGAGCAACCGTAGCTCCCCTAACTAGGGGTGAGGAACTCTTGACTGTGGTCAAGGTTCCAAGGGAATGTAAGCATTCATAGAGAAGTACTTACATGGAGTGCGGCGACTCCTGAATCTACGTTGAGATTGTTATTGTAGAGAATGACCACGGCGGGACGCTAAATATGAGTACGACGACTCAGATCCTAAGGTTAGGATAAAGGGTAAAGGATGTCCACGGCGGGACGCTAAAAGTGAGCACGACGACTCAAATCCTAAGGCTAGGATAAAGGGTAACAGGAAGTTAGTTGTTAGTGAGCTCGCCAAGATATCGCATCTTGTGCCTACGTATTCTCGATGAGAAATCAGAGCGTTCGTAGTTCCCCTAACTAGGGGTGAGGAACTCTTGACTGTGGTCAAGGTTCTAAGGGGATGTAAGCATTCATAGAGAAGTACTTACATGGAGTGCGGCGACTCCTGAACTAAGTTAAGTTAGCAAGGAATGGAATGTCTGCGGCAGGACGACTAAATAGAGCACGACCGCTACTGCGAAAACGGCGGCTCCAAGTCCTATGGTTAGGATAAAGGGTAAGTGTTGCACCCTAAAATTTTCCCTGTGGTTTTCCGACTTTGACTGGCTTTTTGCTTCGTTTTCATCTGCATATCATTTAGGTTGCATTTTGCCCGTATTATCGGTCGGATTGAATTTATCAGGACTTTAGCCGCTTGGCTCGCGTTTTAGGCGATTCAAATAATTCAAATAAGAGGTTCAGTGTCAAAATCGAGCGAAAGTCGCTTTTCTCTTGATAATTCAATCCATGTCAATAATATCGGCGCATTTCGGTGCTCACCTGTTGTCCATATCATTTTTGCATTTTTATTGCTATTTTCGACTTATTTAATTATTTATAATAGTTTTTGTTTTAGTTTTATTTATTTAAAAATATTTTAAATAGGACTAGATGTTTTATTTTTAATATAGATTTTTATTATTTTGTTTTGAATAGAAAATAGAATTTAGAATAGGTTTTTTATTAAGATTTTATTATTTGAAATTAATTTTGTTTTTAGTTTGGAATTAATAGGATTTTTATTTTATTATTATTATTCAAACTTATTAGTAATTTAATTAGGTTTTATTATTTTTAATTAGGATTAATTTAATTTAGTTTTAAATTTAATTAGAATTAATTAGTAGTTTTAATTTAAATTTAGATTAGTATAGTTTTTTATATTAAAGTTAGTTATCAGCTTTAGTTAACATACAATTTTTTTTTTAATTAATTAATTGATCATCAACATGTTTCGTTAGCCTTCATTAATCATCAACTTTAATCATTTCGTTAGCATGTTAATTAGCATGTTTTTATTTCATTAATCAACTTTAGTCAGTTAATCAGGTTTATTCAGCCAGGGCCACGTGTCAGCTAGGGGGTATAAAGGCCCCTGTTCATCATCTCTTTCAGCGGAGATTTACAGGAAAAAAACCTAGGTATTGTTCACCCGCCGCCAGCTCTATCTCTCACAATCCATCATCTTCACCCCTTCATCATTTTCACGAACAACCATCCCATCAACACCTTCAAACCATAGAGAAACCCTCTGAGCTCTCACTACACCTTTTTTTTTTCCTTCATCAACTTCGACCTCCCTCCATAATTTCCGTCGGGAATCCAACAACAAACCGCCGTCATCCGCGACATTCCAAACCTGCCAAAACACCACGAAACCGACAACAACAACTCACATCAGAACTCAATCCGCCGCAACCAACCGTGGAAGCTGCCATCGTTGCTGCCATTCGAGTCGGCCGCCGTAAAAGAACAAAAAAACTACTGTGAGAACAAAGCGGGAAGAGTGAGCATACGCGAAAGGGATAACACGAGAACCACAGGTGAAGACGGCTTGGATTTTTCTACCGCAGACGATGACGATGATGATGCGAGATTCAGTCGAGCGAGAGATCTCCGTGAAAGAAAAAACAGAGGGATGAGATTTCACACGACTTGGTAGTCTGTTGTTGTTTATTTTTCAATCTATATTTCTTTTCTTTATTTTTATTTTATTCTTTTTTTTACTTGGCCATTCTATGAACTACTTCCTGTATTTGAATGTGTTCTTAATTTGGTATGTGCTATCTTATTTTTCATCTAGAAAATGGCCAACGTCTCTAGTGGTGTATCATTTAAGCTTTTAATACTTTGTTTGTTTGTTTATAGGTAGATGTACATGTCTCAGTATGTGCTATTTTACATGATATTGCTTTAAGTTTCATCTTTTTTTATAATGTCTGCTAGTTAGATTTAGATGTTACATTTAAAGTTGATTTGTAAATATATATATTTAAATTAGTTTTATATA